CATTTTCAACCCTTTCGTTTTCACCGATTCTTCCGCGAGACACGCGCTTCTCCTTCGATTTCTAGTAATTTCTTCTTTACCCCTATCGACACGCTCTGTTTTGTTTGTTTTTTCAAGGAAGCATCCTAACGTTCCAAGAGAGACGAAGAACGAATGAGAGACAGACAGAGAGAGAGAAAGAGAGAGGGGAGGAATCTCTTGGAGCGCGACGCGTCGACGCCCCACCTGTGCTCAAGTTGTTTAAAAAAAAACTATTAGTTCGTTACTAGGACGATGAACGAATGGACCAACGTGTGTACGAGAGAATGAGAGATAATCGACGGGTGAACGGTCGGGGAGAATGTGTATGAGAGGAACCGAGAGAGAGAGAAAAAAAACGAAAGGGACAGAGAGACGAAATCGAGAATTCTGTGGCCGAAAAGGCACACAGAGATCGCAGTTTCGGGCTCCCTTCGGCGATTTCCACGATTTTCTTCGAGAGGGGGCGCGATCGAGAAGCGGGAGACACGGGAAAATGAAAGTCACGCGGAAGATAATGGATTTCAATGGCGAGAGGGGAGGGGGGCAATTATCGACAAACGTTTCCTTTTTCTCTCGTTGATCTTTAATGAAATCGTTTCCGGTAGGAGAAAGGGGCGTGGGGTAATTTTACGGGGAGAGACGGGGACCAGCATAGAGTTTTGTTTCCAGAGGGGTTGTGTGGTGGGCGGTTACAGTGTCAGGTACCCCCGCGCTTTAATTGTGATCCTTTTTCTGTCTACCCTTTAGTTTCATTGATGATTATTTTATTAATAATATTATTATTATTATTAATTATTATTATTATTATTATTATTAATTATTATTAATTATTATTATTATTATTATTAATTATTATTATAATTATAATTTCGTTTAATAAACTATCACGTTACAAAGAAAAGCGTTCGAGTATGTGTGGAAGACGCCCGGGACAGCGTTGTCCCCTGTTCAAGATTTTCTTTTCCCCGACAGAAGACTCCTCCACCTTCTCCACCCACCCCATAGTCATCCTCCTTCTCCTTCTTCGCCGGCGCGAGTCCTTTGTTCCATTGTTTTCTTCCGGTTCCGCGAGGAAAGAAAGAGGAAACGAGCATATTTGCATCGCGAAAGAATATTTTTGCTTTTGTCGATGGACCGATTGGCGACGCGGAAACGGAATTGTACTTACAATACGATTATTATAGCGGTGCTGAGCATTTCGGAGGGGGTCCTCTTTCCTTCCCCCCCCCCCCCCCCTCCTACACACACACTTTTTTTATCGCGACCCTGTCCCCACAGCTTCTTGACTTGCTTGTTCCCGAGCAGATTTGCGGAAAGATGCCGTCCATTGTGCTTTCGGGGAGGAGGGGGGCAGAGCGGCGGGTGGCGGAGAGAGAGAGGTGAAAGGATCGTTCTTCGATCGCAGATGTGTCAATTGTTAGCGATTAAATAGACGATAATCATCCCCGTTGCTTTGCAAACCGAGAGCTAGAAAGAGACAGAGAGACAGAGAGAACATTTCTTTTTTCGTCGATGTGCCAATTATTAGAAAAGACGATCGAAGATCGGCGTTCTCCCCGGGATATCTCCCGCGGATCCTTTCGCCGCTCGAGCGACGATCGGCGGAAATTCCTTCGAGCGGAAATCATTGCGTCGACGATGGAGATAAAAACGAGGAAAACGCGGTGTCAAAACGTTGCAATGTGCTCGAGGTCTGCCGATAGACAAAAGACAGGTCGATTCCGACGCCGCGCCGCTCTGTTACCAGTTTTCCTCCGCGGAGTACAGCTCTTGTCCGGGTTCGTAAATCACTCCGGAAGACCCCGGGCCCGGTTTTTCTCGGTCAACGATGGTTTCATTGCCACTGCTACTACGTGCGTCCCTGTATCCCTGAAAAAAATCTGTGTTCGCCCTTGCAATACAATGACTTCGCGCGCGCGCGATGCAACGGCGAGAGCAACGCGGGGAATCGCAACGCTCCGAAATGTTCGTTTTTTTTTAGTTTAAAGTCCTCGAAACGATTGAGCAAATTTCGTCGCGTTGTCGTGCGAGCAAGATCCATTCGATCGGGAGAGGGTGCGAGAGACAGAGTGAGAGAGTAAGAGTGTGAGAAGAGGCCGGAGGGAGGAAAGAGCGTCTGTGTGCTTATGCGAATGCGAGCGGACAGGGAGCCGGCAAGCAAGCGAGGTTCGAACGCGACAGGAAGACTGAGAATGCGAGAAGCGAGAGAATCGTGTAGGCATGGTAATGAAAAAAAAAACAATATATTGATTATATTGCGTGGTACGAACAGAACTGTGATATTTTATTGTATAAATTTACGGTAACAAAAAGAAAGAGAGTGAGAGCGAGCTAAGGAGAACGAGAGAGAACGAAAGAGCGACAGAGCGAGCAAGAACGAGCGAGCGAGCGAGCGCGACAGAGAAAGAAAGAGAGAGAGGGAGAGTTAGAAACAAGAAAAGAAACGACGGAGAAATATGAAGAACAAATCTCTAAACGGATATACTTACGCAAAGGCGGGATAATACTGTATTTTACAAAGAAGTGCATCCTGAAGCCATTTAAACGCAATCGCGTACGAGTATCCCTTCGATGATTGAGTCGTTTTCGATTTCGGAGGGCACGGCGGGGGAGGGTGAACGAAGCGAAATTTCGAGCCGAAGGCGACGGAAGAGAAGACGGTCCTCCGTAACCGAGCCATTCTCAACCTGAAAAGGAATACTCGGCCGTTTTTCGGGCTGAACGCGAAGCCCTAGTGTCTAATCGTTTCCTGTTTGTAAAGTATATATATAGATATATAATATAGATATATTATATACGAATTAAATGTTTGATAAGAGAGAACGAGAGAGAGAGAGAAAGCGAGCGAGAGAGAGAGAGAGAGAGAGAGAGTATGAAAACGACGAGAAACGGTGCGATTTAGCGTTGCGAGGAGAGGATAAGAGAGGTCCCGGAGATCGCGCGACGCACGATCCGAGCGATTTTAAGCAGCACACGAACACAAGCAGAGACACGCGGATTACACATAGTTAATAGCTAGAGAAGTAAGTAATTAACGCTACGTCTGTAAAGTTTCGAAGAGAATGTCCCAAATTCTTCGCACTACCGATCGTCCCCAGCCCTCATGAATAAAAGCGGAATCATCGTGTTTCCTAATCCGTGCGAAATGGAGAGAGCGAGAGCGAGAGTGAGAGAGAGAGAGAATCGTTTAATATAATGAAACAACTGTCTGTCAATTCGCGACGAGGTCTACTGTAAAACATTGATACTTCCTCCGGGTCCGAGGGTCGCTGTAAAACACCCCGAAAAGCACGAGGCGCGAGCCAACGATTTCCTAGAATAAATTTTCTATAATACCGCTGACAGAGAGAGGATTTCCTTCGACGCCGACATCTCGCAACTTTCGTCAACGTTCCACGGTACAGCGTTCATTGAACAACCCCTCCCCAGGTCGAAGATATCTCGCTCTCGCGGTGTTTTGTAACGGCGGGGAACGAATACACTCCGTCTCTGGTGTACTTAGCAATAACTTTCAAAATTCAATGCCGAGAGATCGATGAAATAAAGATGCTCGTGAGAAGAACCTTGATCCCGTCGACGCAACGCGACGTTTACAGTGTTTTACAGTGGCGTATCTCGGACGAGAGAGCGAGAGAGAGAGAGAGAAAGCGAGAGAGAGAGAGAGAGAGAGCTTGCACTCTTCGGAAGCAATCGCCGCCAACAGAAAATCTCCCATTCCGATCGACGAGTTTCGGCCCTGCGTCTTTCGCTCGACTGTCGTCCCGAATACCGTCGTGTTTTTTCGAAAAGGAACGAATCGTGCCTCGAACCGGGTCACAAGAGAGAAATCGACAGCGAACGAGAACGTCCAGCCATGATAGTTAATCGCGCGCCCTGAACGTGATACACACACAGACACACACACACATATGTACAACGAAAAGTCGTCGAGTTTAGAGGGAAGCGATCGCGGACAATGAACGAAACATTTTCTATTACGACGCTAGCACGACCACGGTACAAAATATTCAGCGGAGGCGCGAGTGAGAACCGAACAGCGTGGACATGTAGCGAGGGAAGAGAGGATGCTCGCCGCCCTCCGAGCGGATCGAAGATACCGCGAATGTCGAGATCCGCGCAGGAAGCCGAGAATTTCGTGAACGATGGGGAGAAACGCGAATCTTTTTGTGAAAATTCGTGTACGCTCGAACTTTCGGTCGGGGAACGCGTGAGGAAACTTCCATTGGTTTTCGATAGAAGAGCTGTGCTCGTCCAGGCTATAAGCATTCGCTTCGAAGAAGGCGCGTCCGATCTGAAATTAGCCTTCGCATCAATTTTTCAAACGGATCTGGACAGTTAAGTTGGGGACAGTCGCCTGGCTAGAGGAACTTGGATGGGACTGAAATCGTTCGGAAGTATCGAGTCAACGTTTCCTGCGCGAATTTCGCTCGGTTCTAGAGAAGTGCCGAGGGCGGAGGAAGAACGACGATCTCCGAGGTTGAGGGCGCCCGGCAACGGAAATAGAGAGGATCTCGTCGTTCTTGATCCCCGAGAGCGTCCCCGATCCCGGATAATAATATCAGAGAACGGAGCTCGTGTTGTATTTATAATCGATTTTCAAAAAAAAACGTTTCTCGCGACCATTTCTTCTTGGTTGCCCGCGTGGCCCGCGAGGACAGGACACAACACAGACCTTGTAAAACACGTCCCGCCCCACATCGTCGACACACTAACTGTTCGTCCTTTTTAACAAATATAAACAGAACTTACGTCTTACTAATTCTGAACAGCGATCCGGAAAGCTACCGCAATCCGTCCGGTCCAGAGTTATTACATATTAAATACCGTAGAAACGAGGAATTAATCGAGCGCTCGAGAAGCGTGAACGGGATTGCCTTGGCATTCTGGGCTCGCCAAGTATTTTTGTCATTCCTCCTCGAGTTGTATTTCAGTTTGCAACTTTCGGAGAAGGCAATTTACTTTCCACGAGGTGTGGTGAAAACGATTTTATACTTTCCGTTTGACGAAGCTTAAATCCGTTAACCGGGTGATTCGATGTGTAAATATTTAATAATTGTAAATATCTAAAGAAAAGGAACATTAAACAAAAATGTCTAGTTAACTCGTCTCCTCCCCCGGGTAACCGGTTAAATTATTTCTGCTTCTCTCTATCCTTTTTATTATGCGAAACGATCGGATCGAACGAGTCGAAGCTGGCGCGTTGATTATTTCATATTTATTTATTTAAGAGAAGATAAACACGATTATCGTTTCACCGTGTACGGAATTCAAATTTTGTTTCCACGCAGGTGGCGCTGACGTCTCGATTCTGCGGCAGTGACATCTGCGGAATTCGCCCGAACCCTGTGCGATTTGTAGCGCGATCGACACGTCGGAGCGAACCTAACCTAGCAAACTCTTACCGTAGTCGATGTAGTAGGAAATTGTGTTTTGTTCGCCGTTGGTATCTTGCGGAACAGCAGATCGATACGGTCGATATAGTAGAGCAGATGTCGACCGGGCGACGCATGCGCAAAACTTGAGATATGTCATAATCAGCTGATGCTGACCGGACATTGTAGTTGAAAAGATGGTGAACTTGCGGCTGAATACATCCGTCGTCAGGTAACTGTCAAAGAGGACAGCGCGGTACGTGCAGTGTTCGTTCACGGTGTCAACGATACTCGTCACTGATGTCCACATAAACGGTTGGGGCACGTTATGGCATTCCTTGAGGTTCGTTTCACATGCTCTTCGATCGTTTCGCGTATTGTTCCTCACGAACCGACCATAACCTCGGTATCGACGCCCTTGCGCTGAGAATTGTTTGCTTTTCAGTGGAGACGCTTCAATTTCTTCGACCTCAAGAAAGAGGTCGACGAGGGAAAGATTGCGAGCGCTCTCGGGGTAAGTTCCTCTCAGCTCGAATCGAATCGAGTGTAGGATCGTTTTTCGTAGGTTAGGTTGTTCGAACATGTTGCACAGACTCGATAATGTTAAACAGGACGCTCAAGTCACCGCAGCTACTAGTGGAAATGGCAGCTTGGTCTTTGGAGACAACACGGGCAATGTGCACTTAGTTAATAGGACCTACGATGTTACCACCTTCCGGGCGTACGAGGTTATCGTAACCTTAGCGCAGCAAGTTCAACATTCCACTTTCTTGTTCACCATTGGTGTTAGTTGTGTTAGAAAGTTATTCGCTTCTCGCGAATGTACTTGTTGCTTTCATTAACAAAACATTCGTTTAGGAAGACGATGTTGGTTGTAATCCGACGATAAAGGTGTGGAACTTGTCTAAGCCAGATAAACAAGGCAATCCGTCGTGCGTTCGCATAAGCAGAGCTATACCCAGCAACAGAGGAGTTCCTGCAACCGCGCTGTATGTGCATACTAGTCTCACTTTAATGGCTATAGGGTTTGGAGATGGCTCCGTTATGCTTTACAGGTAATATAGACGGTTTAAAAAGCTTTTAATTTGGATTTCATTGAATTATTCGCTTGTAGAGGTGATCTGACCAGGGAAAGGAAGAACAAGATAAAGGTGTTGAAAGGCACTGGTGTTTCTATTACTGGTCTTGCGATAAGAGCCATGAGCAAACAAACTCACCTATTTGTTGCTACAACGAACAGTGTCTTTTTGTACAATGTTACCGTAAAAGATAAAGAATTTAAGTCTCCCTTGGACAGTATGGGTTGTTCCAACAAATGCAGTGTCCTTGCGGAATCGATGCAAGACAGTCACTTCATGATCGGTCGTAATGAGGTAATAAATTTATCAAAATTTAATTGGAGTAGACTGTAGACATTTCTGTAATACGTGTCTTTTATATTAGGCAATATATTGTTATACGCCCGACGGTAGAGGTCCCTGCTACGCGGTAGAAGGTCAGAAAATAATGCTAGAGTGGTTTAGAAGCTACTTAGTAATAATATCTAAAGAATCTGCTAATGTTCCAAGAAGGACCACCACCATTTCTGCAAAACCAAGGCAAGAAGTTTACGCGTATTGAAGTCGACCGTTTAATAAAGATATATTATTAAACTCTTGTGTTTACAGTACCATAGAACCGATACCTCAAGGCGCAGATAAACATATGATCACGTTACTAGATATACAAAACAAATTCATTGTTTTCTATGCGCCGATGCTCTCTGTGCAAGCAGTGTTATCAGAATGGGGCGGATTTTTTATACTCAGTGGTGATAGCAAGCTGTATCACTTGGAGGAAAAAGATTTGCAGTCTAAATTAGCCTTACTCTTTAAAAAGAATTTATACGATGTATCTATAAGGTAATTAATATAATTATTGAATTCATATCGTTCAATGCGATCTTTTAATCTCGCGTGATTTTTAGGATAGCCAACAATCAACAGTATGATGCAGAAAGTCTTGTGGACATATTCCGGCAATACGGGGACCATTTGTATTCGAAAGGAGATCATAACGGTGCAATAGAACAATACATAAAAACCATTGGAAAATTGGAGCCTTCCTATGTAATCAGAAAATTCCTAGATTCTCAGCACATAGATAATTTGACAACTTATTTGCAAGCTCTGCATAAAAACGGTCAAGGGACGGAGGATCATACAACGCTACTATTAAACTGTTACACGAAGCTGAATCAAACGGATAAACTGAAAGAATTTATTATGGTAATCAGCTCATGATTCCATTTGATTATTTCTCATCTATATTTGCAATTTCAGACGAAAGATAGGGAAGTCGATTTCGATGTAGAAGTTGCAATAAAAGTCTGCCGTCAAGCGTCTCCGGAAGACGCTTTGCTCCTCGCCCGGAAGCATGGCCAACACGAATGGTATCTTCGCATTCAAATAGAGGACAAACACGAGTACAAGAAGGCTTTGGAATATATGGAAACTTTGGAATTCGAAGAAGTATGTCCATATGTTTATCAAAGGTGTTGCAAGCAACTAATCTCGTTTGCTCTTTTAGGCAGAATCTAACATGAAGAAGTACGGCAATGTTCTAATGGAAAACGTTCCAAACGAATCCACGCAATTTCTGAAATCCTTATGCACCAATTATAGACCTTCCAACAAACCCCTCGTGGATCAGGTAAATTAGTAGATTAAAAAATAAGCGTATATGTAACGGTAAAGTTACTGTGTTTCAATCAGGAAGCTTTAGATGGCACCGTGGAACAGGATATTGATAAAGCTAATCCCGAGGATTTCATTCACCTATTCCTCAACAATTCTGAACGTCTTGTAGAATTCCTAGAACACTTAGTGAAAACAAACACCAAGTTAGTACATATTTTAGATTGAAGAAGCGAGTAACAATCTTGCATAATAATTAACACCTGTTATTCCAGATGGAGTACTTTGGTGTACAACACGCTAGTAGAACACTACCTGCATGTGTGGTCAGCTTTAGAGAATGACGTGTCGAAAGTACAATACGAGCAGAAGATAGTAAGTCTTCTGCAGAGTTCAGAGGCCTGTTACGATAAAGATCAGATTCTGATCTTGTGCCATCAATACAATTTTAGACGTGGACTGCTTTTTCTTTACGAAGAAAGTAAATTGTATGTTGAAGTATAAATCTGAAATAACGTATTTGAAAACTTCCTTTTATAATGTCTGTTAATTTTAGATACCAGGAAATGCTGCGATTTCATTTGCGAGAGGGTGATAGCGAGCAAGTGCTAGCAATTTGCAAACGATTCGGCCATCAGGATCCAAATTTGTGGGTTCAAGCTCTGTGGAGCGTGGCCAGGAATAAGGAAGCTCCGACGAAATTGCTTGCAGACATTTTAACTTATATCGGTACAGTTGCAGAACATTGTTAATTCTATTTCTTTTGCATTACATATCTATTTTAAATGGCCTATTTTTAGCGCAAGAAAGACTTTTATCGCCTCTAATGGTCGTCGATGCGATTTCAACTTCGCTTTCCTGCACTTTGGGAGATGTAAAGACTTATTTGAATAGTGTACTGCGAACAGAGCAAGAACAGACGCAAACAGACATTGAGCTGACCGAGAAGTATCGAATGGACACCCAAAAGATAAGAGAACAAATAGAGTCGATTAAAAATAACACGATCATTTTTCAAGGATCGCGTTGCAGTGCGTGTCATCATCAATTAGAGTTACCTTCAGTACATTTTATGTGTCAACACTCGTATCATCAACAGTAAGTTTACATTTATGCTAGTCACGGACATAATCTAAGAATTATTCTATTATTGTCTTCGCTGTTTCAGCTGTTTCCAAAGTTTCTCGGAGAACGAGAATGAGTGTCCAGCTTGTTTACCGAAAAATAAAAAATTATTGGACATCATCAAAGCGCAGGAACAGTCCAAGGATCTTCACGAGATTTTTCACAGTTTGCTTGACCGGGCTGAGGATCCGTTTTCGTTGGTTGCCGACTACTTTGGCCGTGGGGTGTTCAAAAAGTTGACGGTAATCACTGACACGGATAAATTGTTGCCGACAACAGCTACTAAATTCGAAGAACCAAAGCTGAATTATGGGCCAGGGGCAGAAGCGAGGATCAGGTTGACGGAAGGAAAGAATTCCACCCTGGGTAACGATCAATTTTTTTTTTGTAATCATGTTATTGGTTTGCCTACGAATTAATGTTTATTCTGTCAAATATTTAGGAAAAACGGAACCTCCACGTGAGAATTTCCCAGTAGTGGATGATCGTTTACGATCGTTTCCGAAGTCAGAGATCTATTCTTCATCACTGGAAGCAAATATTTCTGGTACCGGAAGTGACGTATCCACTCCCCGTGGAAATTCGAGGAAAGCTTCGCCAGTGCCCATAAAATATTTAACTATATTGAACAATACTCCACCAAAGTCGTCGCCAGTGCAAAAATCTTTCGTGCCGCCGAAAACACCCGTTTCGACTAACCCATTTGATACGGAATACGACGAGTCAAAGAACCCGTTCGCGGGGGATGAGGATGATGATGAGGACATCAACAACGACGACGACAAAGACTATAACAAAAATTTGAATCCATTCACTAGATAAACTGCATTTCTCTCCTTTGGTGACGATTGGTCTCACGAGTTCTCAATATGTCAACGATATTTCGTAGACCAAGAACTGTTGGGGCTTGTAACAAAAGACACGACGAATATTAATCACACTGTCTAACAGCTATTTTGCATTTTTAAGTCTAATTTAAATGAAAAAGTAATATTTTCATTATTTTTTGCTTCAATGGTAAAACTTATATCGAAACCCTACAAAAGGAATGAAATCTTGTTGGACAGTGTTATTATACTCAATATAAATTGATTCGATAGGTTCACTTTAATTCCATACAGTTTTTCCTCGACAGGAGAAAACTTTGTGTCAATAGGCTGTGGAAGTCTCGAATCCCATCCTAGTTATGACTAGAGTTATTTCTCTCAAGGATTGAACCCCCTAACTTTTTTGTCTGGATATATTATATATTTTATATTATTTTTCATCAGATACATCATACGATACCTGTATCTTTTGGTGCTTCACGTGATTTATGAAACGTGTATACTGTGTGTTGATCGGTAAGAAATTCATATAAAACATTAATTGTACATTAAATGATTTATTGTATATATTGCCTTACGTCATATTTTAAAATTCTATCTCTACATATATTCACAAAACGTGTCCTTAAAGTAATTTGTCCATTCTTGATTAGTATAAAAGATATGTCACATTTTATGAAAGAATACATCTTCCAAAGTAAGTTTTTTCCAAATATCAATTAATAAATAAATTATATATAAAAAGGGATTACTACATTATAAGTGATCCAAGCTGTGCTTCCATTCGAATATTTTGTCATTTATTCTAAAAGCACTCCAACTGTCTACTGCTTCTGGACCTATTGGTTTAATAGAGACAGGAGTACAGTACTCTTCGGTGGGTTCTGGCAAGAAGAAATCGGAAAGTATCGGTACAACGTCTCGTTGACGAGGCTCTGGATCTTTACTACGTGTTAGTCTACTTGGTAGTTGTTTTTCATCTACAGACAAATTCACCAAGTTTTTGTAAATGGCTTCATCCAGAGGGAAGTCCAAGGCACTAGAAATCTGTAAAAGAAAAGAAGATATTTCCTGACACTGTATTGTAAAAACTTTTCTCTTCGTACCTTCCCATTTATTAAATTTTTATAAATAGGGGGCAAATGCTCCAAGTCAACTACAACTTTCTGTTTCTTTGTTTCATTCAATTTATTAATTGTACACATGACAGAATTGTATTCTGGTCTTGCCAGCTTTTCACCAGAAGTACATGGTTTTATGTGAGCTATGTCCTTAATCTTCGCGATCCTCAGAATGTCTTGATTTTTACGTGGTACTCCTGGACCAACATAAGGTTTTATTTTGGGACCAACTATGTCCCGCACCATAGTTTTCTTCACTGGGAAAGCTTTAATTTTTGATGCAGTTGTATTGTACTTATAACATGGCATAACATTCACAACAGGCTTTACTTTATCAGAGGTCAGTGAGACTCTGGATGGCTTAGCTGAATTTACTTTTTTATTACCATTACTTGGGCAGGGTTTAATTTTGCATTGTGCTACTTTTATGTGTAAACTATTTTTAATGGTATTGTTGGTACCCTTTTTAGTAAAGAGTGCATTATTTTCCTTGCCTTTCTTATCTGTAGTATAGTCCATTTTTTTAATATCAGTCTTAACTGAGTTCTGCGATTTCAATATTTTGTTTGATTCTTTTTCTTGCAAAGTAGCCAGTGATGTATTGGTCTTTTTGAGTTTGCCATTTTCTTCAAAGCATACTTTAGTATTCACAGAATTATCTGCATCATTTAAAGGTCTCTGATTTTCAGTTTTACCAGAGGTATGAGCGCAAAAAGGAATCTCATCATCGCATCCTAAAAATTCAGTCTTTTGGGTACAGTTTACAGACTTTGTTTCTTTAGTATCAACATCATTGAATGCTTGATTCGATTTTAATACAATGACAGGCTTATCTAAAGTTACTATATTTCTAATTTTTGGCTTATTCAAGCGATTAGAATTGCTTCCATCCACTGAATTTTTTAATTCTTTTGATTTATCAACGTCGGTTTGACAAAACCTAACTTTCGGTCTCACAAAACATTTGGTATTCGCAGACATTATAGAAGAAAATATGTCTAATCAATCAAATTTAGAAGTAACTTGTCGCGAATTTAGCTGACAATTCAATCAAAGACAATTCAAGAATTTAGTTTGACAATTCAAAAAATTTGACAACATAACCTCCAAAGATTTATCGCGGTCGAAAGTTGTCAAACAATCACAGAAATTTTTTTGTTATGGTTGTAATATATTAACCTCATAATACCATATGTGTGATTCACGAAAATACACAAAACTTTGAATCTTTCCTGACTCCTTTGTTTCATAAGCTTTGATTAGTCACTCAGAAGACGATCGCATTTACCGCGTGTTTCAGTTGGTTTCAGTCGTACTGTAATTATTTCAGTATTGTAATTAGCGCTGTTTAGCAACGATTAGTGGTGTTTATGACGGAAAATGCATCATACAAGATCATGGAGCCATTCGTAGTAATTTTATTTATTAATTAATAGTATTTTTTTCTTTTCTTAATAACCACTACTTTCAAAAGGTTATAGTAATCGGAATTCCAAAATTACAGCAATTTCCATATATTTTACAGAATCCTCAAAACTTTCCCGTGGAACACTTAAAGTTAGTGTTTAAAACTTCTGGAGTTGTTGAGTACATTGATGCCTTGGTACGTTTGTTTATAGAAAAAACAATATGTTTCCAAAGACGTCAACTATAGTTACATAGTTACATCATGAACAGATTTTATGTTTATTAATTTGTCATAAGTTTTGATATTTGATTGTTCTTCTATTATTTAGAAAATGTTTGCATTAACAAGATATTTTATCAACTTTGTTTAGAGTGATAAGTGGGCAGATGATCGCTATTTCTTGCATTATGAAGCTCCTAATATTTATGACGAAGATGGATCAGAGATTATTGGGGCAAAGGAACATTGGATGCAAGTTATTAATTATATGATCAACGATTTTAAATGGTTAATTAGTCTTCCATATTTTAGGTGAGTACATAATTATAAATGTTCAATAATTCCCCTAGTGTAGTGTTGAATGGTCCCACATTGTAATAGAAGAATTCCTGAGTTATTTATTGAAATTATTGTTTATTTAGATTTTGGTCAAACATTATATACAATACAACAATAATGGATGCATTGGTATCTTTGCTACAAGAAGCGCCGCCATTTTACGCTTTAGAAAATTTTCCAAACTGTCCAGAAATGTTACAATTACTAGAAACAATCCGGTACTATGTACTTGTTGTTTTCACACGTCTTATTACGAACAAGGAAAGCTCCATGGAGTACATGCAACCTTCATTTTTTGGGAATTTACTCTATGAAAAGTACATATTTACAGTACCCATTATATTTGATCTCTGTCAACTTTATGGCAGGGAAAATCCAAAAGTAATAAAAAGGCTCTTACAATGTTTATTTGACTTAGAACCAGAATACAATAATGATTTTAAAAAAGCTGTTCCTTGTCTGATAGAGGTAAGGTGCAAATATATTCGGGGTACCTATTGTTTTTATAAATAGAATTGACTACGAACATTTTTATTTTAGGCTCTTCAAAATGTTGAGACGAAGTTCGATAATTCAATAGTACATAATGGAGCACGTTCATTGACCCAGCAGGATGCTGGTTACAAACATCTGACATTATTTAATTTAGAGGATTTGATATTGTATGTATTAGATATATCATCAACGATTACTGTATTTTTAAATAATTATCCTCCTGCAGTGAGTCTATTTCACAATGAGGATTTTATAAAAAAGTAGGTATATAAATTAATGATCTATCTTGCTTCTGTCAATATTTAATGTGCTTTTTTTTTTTAAATAGAATCGTTTCAATATATGAAAACACAATACCTAAGATGTATAAGAACTTAGATAAGTTAGGATATAATGATGAAAATATGCCGAAGTACATAGAACTGAAACATCGATTGGATGTAATTAGGGTTGAAATCATAAACCTTTTTAGAATTATCTTATTCAAACCAATAGAAAATGTAGTATACAATTCGTAAGTATATAGACATATCAACTATGTATATTGAAGCTAATTATAATCAGTTGTGTATTAAAAATTCGAAGAAATATAATTATGAAATTATACTTAGAAATACTACATCAGAGGCAGATATAAAGAAGCTTGTAGAAGAATATTTTGCTTTTTTAATGTACGCCGTTCCTGAGAGAGAATTCATTACAGATTATGATCAATTTCATCCAGTTAGACAAGACCTGGATATACTGACCAATATCTACCCTGAACTGTATCCTTTGATTTTAATTCACATAAATTAAAGTATTATTGTTATCATATTAATACTTAACAAATATTTAGTGATATGATACAACTTAGTTACATATTGAACCTGATAAAAACGCCTGAAAAATCTAATGTTCCACCAATTCCTTTGCTTAATCATATAAATGTAAGTAGAAATGTGAGAAAAAATATTTCACGTTTCTTGATAATGTTTGTCTTTACAGGAACCTGTGGCAGGACCTAGCGGTGTTCAGAGTCAGCCACCGGTACGCGCACATATGGAACATGTTACCAATACGAATGTTACCAATACTTCAAATAAATCCAAACATCGATACAATAAAGCATGCATGTCATCCCTAGTTTCTGCAGTAAAAGATGTTCTGAATGATCTAAAGGAAGATTTCATTAAGGTAACAACTACGACATAATAAAGATGAAACAATTCAGAGTAAAGGAACGTATATAAAACACTGTTGTTGCAGTTATGTTTGGAACATTACAATTACAAAACTGAGTCCGTAATAAACGCTATATTGGAAGACAATTTACCAACCAAATTAAAATGCTTGATGTCTGAGATAAAGGAAATACCAGCCGAGTATATGGTAATTGTGTAGTGTATGGTGAATACAAAATTATTGTATATTTCTCGTATAATAATTGTATAATTCTTTTTAGAACGTCGCATTCGACGAAGATACAGTTCCTAGTTTCGAAGCTCTCAATTTCTCCGATGACGACGACAACATTAACAGATATGATAATGTTCATATTAAAACGCGTGAAGACATTCCTGTGTCTAAGGATTACATCTTAAGAAAGTGAGTAATACAAAAATAGAACGACAAAAATTATAATATCAAATTGTTATTTATTTGCATGTAACAACTTCGTAAAATAACATTGATAAAAACCGAACTATCATTTAGTATGAAACAAATATTGTTACAGTTACAGCAACATCTCGGATGATTACACCTACGAAGATGAGTTCGACGATACGTACGATAATCGCGATGTACGAGGCATAGAGAATGACTCTGAACTTGATGCCAGACGTTATACTACACCCAGAGTTCGTATTATTAACTGATAACTTAAGTACAGTCGACCCTCCTTTAATAGGGTTAATTCGTACCGTGTTGTGTTGAGTAGTATTCACGATTACTATACGCGCAAGGTGTACGTCCTGTTTATTTTAACAAAAACTGTGACGCGCGATAACATTTCTTCTACCAATATGTGCTATGCCAGAAAAAAATCGTGTTATAAGAATACTGTATTACAAAAGGGTTGTCGCAATTTTTATACCATATTATACCGATACCGTGTTTCTAAAGTACCGTGTTAAGGAGGATTGACTGTATATTCAGAGACGCGTTAAAAATATTTCATAAAATTGTAGGTGCTCCAAGGAAAACAAAAAATTGAAACTGTCGATGAATCAGATGATGATAATGATGACAGAGAGGCTGAACAAAATGATAAAGATCATTTTATACAGAATCCGGCTGAGTTACGCGCTAAAGCTGAACAGCGACGGCAAGCCATGCGAGGTGGAAGAGGTGCATCCAATGTAATTGGTAAGATATATTAATATGCTAGAACCTTTTATGGGGATCATCCTTTTCCCGAAAAAATTATACTTATTTATGTCCTTTCTATTGAGCAGGTAAACCGAAAGGTCACGGGCAAGAGAAGGACGTCTTGCGCAATAGACAACAAAAGAACACCCATAAGTCAACAGGTGCTAATCACAACCGTCGTTCGGGCGCCCAATGGAAAAGAAATCAAGGAATGGTTCCATCTTAAGTGTACCTAACTTTTACAATATCAGTGTAAATACTGCGATGTGATAAATACATTCGTACCTAGGCCACAAGACCACGATATCCAGTTCCTTCCAGTAGCTAGTATTTAGTTTCATTGTGTTTTTACCACTTGTAAGCGATTAATCTTTACGAATTTTTCACAATAGTAAGTGCTCTTATTCTGTTCATTTGAATAGCGATTAATTGCTGGTATTCCTCCTCGGGTATCATGGCACTGGATGGCGATCCCGAAGCGTTAGGAACTGGCATTAGTTGCGTGAATAGTTTGGTCGTGCTTCCGTAATAGTCCAATTGTATCATGATCAAAGCGTGTACGCTAGGTTTAATGTATTCTAATCTCTTGTCTAAAAACGAAGGCAACTCAATGAGTAGTTGAGCATGGACAATCTTCAACTCCTTTGCGGCTATCTCTTCTGCCCTTCGTTCTCTCTCTAACTTCGCGATGTGACTAGCAGTTCTGTCTTTCTTTTCCTGCAATTTCTTTACTCGATTGTACAAGTATTTCCAATTGTTTACTAACTCTTCCCGCTTGGCTATTGCAGCAGCTATTAGAGCAAATTCGTCCCGCAATTTCTTCAAAGGCTCTATGAATGTTTTCTGACAGAGAACTGCCAAGTCTTGTACAGTTTTCCCTACCTGTTAAAACAGTAAAAGTCTTATCTTTGTTACATGGACTAGAGACATACCATGTTGATCTACCTGTGTTGTAACAGAATGATAGTCTTCTAAGACTCTTCTAAACTCATCGCTGAGATGACCCAAGCCACAAGTTGTTAGATTCAACGTTAGCCTTTGATCTGCTCGGTCCAAATTTACAACTGCTTCTACATATTTCTTCATTTCTTTCGTCAGCTTCCTGATAGTATCCTCAACACTGTGAAAAAATAAGGGCCATGCAGGCGACAAATTTTCTTTCTTATAGAAAATGTTACATTTCATTTACTGAAAAACTCATACAGATACATAGGTATATGTATAACGTAGAGATATTAATACATACTAAATGAGTCTTTGAACAGCAACATCGAGGTCCCTGTCTTCGGTATGCGATAATAAAGGCTGTGCTGGAGTAGGTCTCTGTGTTAAATGATTCCTCTTCAAAGGATTCCTGTGTGTATTATCATAATGTTTATACAAATAACTGTACTAACCTCTTTGACTTAATATGTTGTCATGTAATAATTTCTACTTACCACGTCATATTCTGCGTGTATTTACAAAAAGTTACATACTACTGTATCTTCTAGATCTCCTTAATGTATGAAAATAAATTATCGAGATTGCTAGTAAACCTGTTGCACACCGCGAATTATGTACGTAGTATCTTATCACCACTATCTACCATCGGTTTAATAAAACTCGTGACAAGATGATTCGTATGTACTTCCAAAGATTGTTTTCATTATTTCAACACTTTTCCCGTTATATAGCTCACGTGGATTTTAAACATTATATTGTATAAAAAGATTTTATTGTATTTGAAGCTGATGTAACATTTTCTAACCTTAACTAATCGCAATCAATGTTTCGATCTATTAATGTAATTAATTCCATTTGTGCTATTAATAAGAAAAGGTTGAAGAAAAGATACAGTTTACATTAATAAACGTTTATTGTTCTTTCATCTTTTGTACATGTATCCAATTTCATAAAAATTGAAATATTATTGATACAATAAATTCCAAGATTTCTTAAATTAGTTTAGATTTAAATATACAGAATCAATTATAAATTAATGATCTATGATAATTAATTCATCTATACCCCAATCTTCATAACTGTTGTCAGGTAAATATCGTCTAATGACTATTGGAATTTTCCTTTGTTTTAGTTCTTTCATAGCAATCTGTAGTGGATCTGTCTCTCCTTCTAATTCTACCATTACTGGAGCACACATAGCTATTTGTAATGCTCTTGTTCCTAACACCCTAGCCCGTTCATACCTATGAATAATAAATAATTATTATTTTACTTATACACTCTTCTTATATCAGAATTCTAAAGTTACTTACTTTGTCATGTATCTAGTTGTAATCCGTTTTGATCTTTGCACCCCACCAGTGGCTTCGCCAGCTGCAAGTAGTTCTATATTCTCTCCATCTTCCTCTTGAGGCTCTAGTTCAATGTTGTCGTCGTCGTCAACATCATCAAAATCATCTGCTACTCTGTAAAATATAAATAAATATAATACATTGTTGGCAGGAAGATACTCTATGAAAAAAAATGCATTCATGATGCAATGATTCGTTGCTGATATAATTGAAGATTGTTTTTATTAATCTTGAGTATTCTTGTTTTGTGTATATCAAAACACGTGATCAGATTAGAAAACAATTACATTTTTCTAGGTTATATATACTACAAACGTGTAAACTATACGAAACTTGTGTACATTGCGTAATAAATTAATCGTTTACTCACTCGTCCCCATCAAAATCATCATCTGCCATTTTTCACAATTAATTGAATAAGAATTTCTATCTTCCTATCTTCCTTTCTCTCTCCCTATCCACAATAAGAAACTATCATTTTATGCATCCATCTTCGCTCATTTCCTTTAGCGAGAGAACGGGACAGAACGACATCAGCGGGCTCTATGTGTGAACGATGGCCGTTTGGCGGCAAAATGTCGTACACGCGTTGTCGACGGAGATATTTTCTTGACCTACACGAACGTAAAACCTCTACGACACTTTTCCTCACTAGCATTTTCGTCAAAGATATCTACAGAATCAGATGTAGTAGTCAATTTTCGTATCCAGTATAGAACTTTTCGTAAATATGCAAATATATTGCATAGAAAATACGTTCTTCGACATTTTTTAAAACTTTAACGATCGTTTAACAGTACTTAGACAGTACTTCTATCTTTCGAGATCGATTAGACCTTCCTAATGTTTTTAGTTTTCACATAATATCTTATTTTTATTAAAAATTGAACGTCTTTATAAAAATTCGAATTTTTAGAAAATTGAAAGCGATACAGTAATTTCGTTTTCGAATTCCTGTTGGAGAAGTGGATATTAGGTATTATTGGATATTAAGAAATCTAAAAAAGAAGTTGAAGTGGAATATAATCGATTAGAGTTGCCAGCCAATTTCTGAAATTTTCGAAATTTCAGTAGTACAAGTCAATCGCAAGTCAGACAAAACAATTCGAGTTACAACCTCCTCACATGTTCTCCTGATACAATTAGCAAGTAGTTTAAGTCAATGAAAAGTCAGACGTCAAAACTTTTTCACTGGCAGAAAAGGGAAATGAATGCATAGAGATAGAAACAAAAGATTTAGGAAAATCTACAAATGAAAAGACGTTTAGATTGAGTTTTATAGTATTTTTATTTTCGCATATTGCAGTTTTTATTCTATTTTACAATCATTATATAATAATGAAAGGGAGTCAGAACGAAGCCGGTTAAGTTATCACAACGATAACTTATCTTACTAACAATAAGATGGTGCGCCAGGTGTACGGATGCGCGAAAAGAGTGAGACAAACTATATTGGTGCTAGTGTGACTCGTTTTGAATGGGTTGTGCTGATGTGTTGTCTTGCTCACTTGCTATTTCCTCTCTTTGTCATTGACTATGAGGGCAGCACTGTTCAACTATGAATCGTCAATCAATTGGAGCACAGCAATTCGCTGCATTCACTCAATTCAAGAACCTCGTTGCCCCCGGATATGGTCCTTGAATTGAGAGATTACTGTATACATATGGTGTACACCTGTGTTCACTCAGTTTTAAGAGAAAGTTGAGAACCTTTTCCAGCGTTAAACGGAGATTCAACCTTTAGAAAAGGAATACTAATCGCAATTTTCTTTCTTGGCTCGAAAGTTGCTTGAAACTCTACCTGCGCGTCCAGTTTTAATGTTTTTTTACGGAAGGGTCACACTTTTCAACTTACCCGCTAATTAAAAAAATGGAACTTTATCAAATACGAACAAATGTCGCATATAAATGCTGTGTTATGAACCAGCTTATTGAATGATGAAAATCAAAACTTGAATTGTAAAAATCGAATAATTAAAAGATAAAAATTCAATTATTCAATTATTCAATTAATATTATTCAATTTTTAAAATGAAGATTGTCTTTATCACATTCATGATTCATGTCCATATTTAAAATTATATTTTAGATTGTAATAAAAATATAAAATTTTTATAGAAGATTATCAGTGATGGTCTGGAATGTGCTACAAAATGGTGGAGGAGAGACCAGAGTGTACTGACAACACTACCATTGGAATCCACTGACATTTGGCATCATCCAATTCCGCTTGTGAGGTCTCTCTGCTACCACTTTGCAGCACAGTCCAGACCACCACTGATTCCCATATCATTCGACCTTGAGCCCGTCGCCATTTTGGTGGTGCAATCTGGCATCTCCGGCTCTGGTCTAGTGTGGCGGTATGAATAGCGTCACTTGGATTGGACTTATAGCTGTATCTGCATCAGCGTTTTTGAAAGTGATTTTCTAAGAGTTTTGGGAACTTACGTGAATTCTACATATTCATAGTATTTGGACAATTTATTTAGTTTAGTTTAGTTCAGTTTAGTTCAGTGTAGTTTAGCTTAGTTTAATTTAGGTGGTTAAATTAAAATAAAGTGCATCATGAGTGAGGAATCAAGTAAGTTAGTTAATTATTTAAAACTTTCTTCTGGATGAAAATATAATTATAAAGAAAAGTATTTCTATTGTTAAATTTTGTAAATTGTAAAAACATATAATAATAATAATTTTTACAATCATGAAATAAATTGTAAACTAATTATGAATTTTAAATTGATAGGCAGTATCTCTGAAAGCTCTTCTCCTCCAACAAAAAGACGGGCTTCCGAACAAACATTTCGAGATAAATGGCTTGAAGACCCAACATTCTCTGCATGGCTGGCAAAATCAGACAATGTATTACATGCCTGGTGTCGAGCTTGCAAAAAGAATTTGAAGGCAAAGAAGAGCAATTTAGATTTACACTCTACATCACAGATGCACATATTAAGCATGCAGAGCTTAGGAGAAATGGGCACGAATGGATCCACGATAGGCGGTTTTGAAAGTCAAGTGAAAAGGGCAGAGATACGGTACACCTTGGATGTTGTGGACCATAATCTTAGTTTTTATTCACGTGGACATTTTATTGGTATGGCCAAAGAGGTGACACCAGACAATGTTGTTTTACAACATTGCACGTTAAAGCGAAGTAAAATGGCAATGATAGTTAAAAATGTTTTAAGTAAATACATTGTTGAAGAAACAATGAGTATTTTACGTAATAAATATTTTTCTTTATTAATGGACGAGAGTACTGACATTTCATCCACCAAACATGTTTGTTTATTGGCACGATATGTGGATGGACCTCAAATAAAAACATATTTGTTAGACTACATTCGTATAAATGAAGCAAATGCTGAAAGTTTATTTCAATGTTTAATGTACTGCTTGGAAAGAAATAATTTACCGATAAATAATCTTGTAGGATTCAGTTTGGATAATGCAAGTGTTGCAGTTGGAACCAATAACTCTGTTGTAACACGTTTATTGGCAATTAACAAAGAGATTTGTGTAATCCCTTGCATTCGCCACTTGTTTCATTTAGTTACAAAGCATGCTTATTCTGTTTTGCCAGAAGATGTCGGAGATTTTTTAAGTGGCGTGTACTCGTACTTTAGTAAAAGTGATAAAAGAAAACAGGCATTAGAGGCTAAACAAAAAGCTCTAAATATGACAAAATTGATAATACTGGAACCATGTTTAACACGATGGCTAACATTATATAAAAGCATAGAAAGAATTCTAAGCCAGTGGCCAGCATTATGGGAAGTGTTTAGAGATGCTAGTAAAGAAAAAAAATCTTTGAAAGCACAAGCATTATATAATGTTTTTGAACAAGGATACATAAAAGCATACTTAGAATTTCTTAAATTGCCATTAGAGTTGTTTACAGAGTACAATATTGTATTTCAAAAATCAGATATAGCCATACATACACTACTAAGAGAGTGTACTATATTAACAAAACACATAGCTCAATTTTTTATAAAGCCTCAATGTATTCAGGCATCTAATACATTTGAAATTAATGTTGATGAAGAGGAGAATTTACTTCCATTAGAAGAAATATATATTGGCGAAGAAGCCCTGGCAACAATTAATCAATTGAAAGCGAAAGAAGAAAATAATGCAATAATTACAGAATTCTATGTGGATGTGCAAAATTTTTATAGAACTGCGTATAAAGAGCTAGGACAACGAATACCCCATAATGAATCATTTTTAAATTCTTTGAATTTTTTGAAACCAAAAATTGCATTAGAAATTGGACACAGCGTAGAACCAATATATAATATAATTGCTAAATATCCAACTAAATTTGATAAAATAAGAATTGCGAGAGAATGGCGTCTCCTACCTACTAGCTTCACGAGTGACGAGAGACAAGAAATAATTTGTATGGACATAAAAAACTTTTGGCACAGAATTAGCACTGAAAAAGGCCCCGATGGAATAACACATTCCTTTAAGAATATTAGCAAACTTGCAGAGTTATGCATGACACTGCCTCATTCCAATGCGGACGTTGAAAGTCTTTTTTCACATGTAACAAATATTAAAACTTTTCATAGGAATAAATTACAACCCGGAACTGTATGTGCATTGGCAAGGGTGAAATTAGATTTACAAAACAAACAAAAAGATTCTGAAACGTACCCCATTCCAGATGAAATGATAAAATTGCACAACAGCAAAATGTATGAAAGAGAAAGTTTGCCATCACATTTAAAGGGTGTGTTATTATTAGATAACGATAGTGCCAGCGAATCGAGTGATAATGAAATTATTGTACCTGACTTGGAAATGTAGTTTTTGTAAATTATATATATATATATATATACTAGATGTCCAAGGTTTTTTCAGCCAAACGGTAGCGTATTCTATCAGTGAAAATAAGAAAAAAGTTATATAACATAGGCTCAAAAATGCTTTATTAAAAAATTATAAGAAAAATTCGAAATAACAATGGACTGATTTTCGTTCAATGTAAAAATATGTTAGTGGCATTTCTCTTATCCGCATTTACTTATCCAAGCTATGTTTACTAAGCCGTTTAAATTTTCATAGATGTCAGTGCTGTATTTTCAAAAACAGGCGACACTTCGAAATGTAGCATAATAAATATTCCCGACTAGTCCGTTATTGTTTCGTATCTCTCTTACACTTTTTTTAATAAAGCATTTCTCAGTCTGTGTGTTTATTTGACATTTTCTTCTTATTTTCGCTCGCAGATTATGCTGATACCGTTTGGTCGAAAAAACCTAGGATACTCTGTATATTATATTTATGTGTACCATGTGGTGATGTATATAGCTATACGTGTATATTTATATATGTATTGTATATTTATTGTTGGATAGAAGGTAGAAAATGAAGGGACAGATTTCATTTTTGTACATGTATGTATATATGTTTTCAACTCTTGTACAGAAAATAATATAAATCTTGTAGGCATAAAGAATTGAATTACGAATAACGTGTTTTGAAAAGCACGAAAAAGAGAAAATATATTTATGTTGATTATAAATTGAAAATCATGAGACGCGGCAGTATCTCGCGTCAAGTAATTGAGTGGCGCGCGACGCTAGCCTGCATATCTTTTCTTTGAACAAAATGGTCAAAAATTTTAGTAACGATTTATTCTTTTAAACGATATCGTAATCAATTTTAACAATTGCCCAATTAAGTGTCATACCGAGATATTAATTTCATATACAGGTATAAAATATTTTTATCGTCCAGTGGCGATACTGCACTTTTGTGACTCTCATAGTTTTATATTTTTGTAGTATATGTTTCATAAATACTATTTCCACCATTTAAATATTCGCGCCGCATACGCTTATTGCCTCCATATGATATTCGTACTTGTAGTAGAAATGAAATATATGGAATATTCGCTTCTTGCTAACGTGCCTAAATTCGTGAACTATCGGTAACGCTGAGCGTGGAGATGAAAATGATAAGGAGCTTTTAGAGCTCCCCAAAGCTAAAACAGAAAAATCCATAAGATGCGATGTCTGTTTTGCAAACAAGACTGGCCACAGCAGAAGGCTGTGCTGGAGTAAAAAATAGATACGTTTGACATGCGGCCAATTTCTGAAATATCTGTAAAGATATGTAGATCATGTATGTTATACTGTAATTCTTCAGCTTTGATTTAGACATTGCTTCGAACTTCGAAGAAGTTATAGTCGAATTGTTTTTCTCCGAAATATCGGTCGGAATTTATCGATTTGTCAAAGTTGTTTCTCTACAAACCGGAATATATTATTATAAGTGTGAATCTCTAGATTTACTTTGCTCCCGCAATGGTTCAATAATATATAAATCAATACGTTCTTAATTAATGAATCACATATAAGTATAATCAGAAATGATTCTTGATATTTCCGCTGTGTATTTACAGCATTCAGACCTGCCTATAGCGCCATTCAACATTGCGACAAAATGCTCAAACTGTTAGCCAATTATCGACATGTGAAAGCGACTGGCATGTAGCACAGATGCAGATAATATAAATCTCTTCCTAATCAATCTTATTAATTTTCTATCTTGTCGCCAATTTGTACCAATTAATTATTAAATTATATTAATGGACGTTAGGCCACATTGTAAATATTAATTCAACTTTTCCTTCTTTCTTATTAGTGAATTTCATTTATAAAATAATTTATAATAAATCTTCGAAGAGGAAATACAATCGTTTCAAAGAGAATAATTTATTTATTGATATAATAATTTCTAGTGAAAGTATTTAAATTACACTGAGAGCTAAAAGAAAATTATACTTGTGAATCATAATGTCATAATTAATTAATTTATTTAAATGTATATCTCTCAGCAAAGTACTATTGGCGCCACCCGTGGCAAAACGCTGAAACTGCTGGCCGATTATCGACCTGTCAAAGCGACAGGGAGAGCAGTGATGGCGCCACTCGTGTCGTAGCGATCAAACTGCTAGCCAATTGCCGACCTATGTGTAAATTCCAAGAATGATTAATAATTATATAATTAGAAAAGAAATGTTGAATAAAATAATTATACGTGAAAGCTACCAAATGTCTAGCTTCCTTAAACGGCACCCGATTATAAACTACTCCAAATTGTTTAATTACTAACGATTTCAGCCGAGGTTAATGTTATTTCCTACATTAGTACTTTGACCTATCTATTCCATTATTAGCTACAATTATATGTATATCAGATTTCATCGATTTTTGAAGACTTTCATGAGGGGAGGAAGAGAGAAATTTTGGTAGCATCAGGCAAACGGTGTTCGATCGATTCAAACAATTCTATTCATCGGGATTCGCCATTAATTTTAGGATTACGATAAATCGGTCGATTAATGCTAAAAATTTTCCTAAAGCTTCGGTACACAAAGAGTTCATTTGCCGCGGCGACGGCTAATTCATGGCGGTATGCGCGTTCTTTGTTAGACCGCAGTGGTTCGCGACGATTTATAATTAACCTCGCGTTTGAGCGAGATCTACAACAAAACCCGACGTCGACGGCGACGCCTGGAAATGGAAATGGACGTCGCCGCTAGAGAGTCTCATCGACCAGCTTTTCAATAAAATAAACAATCGCGCGACTGCCTGTTTCCGCTCACGTAAATTATCCAATCGCCGTTTAATTATTCCTGCATCGAGACGATCGAACGATCCTTTCGCCGTTTAAAAATAATCCGACCCGCCAGAACCACGATTAGCAATGACAGCGAATTTCCGAACGGCGCGTATATTTTCCACGAGCAAAGCTGCTGCCGCATTGAACTTCTCGCGTATCACGATTGCACAAACATCCGCAGTCCGCCGATAGCGGTCTCGTTCTCATTTTTTATTAGGGAGTCGCTGCGGAAAGGGCCATTCTCGTTTGCACGGCAACAATCCGAGGCTTTTACGGTCCGTTACATTAATACTAATCATACCGAACCGTTGCTCCGGCATACCAGAACGCCCACCGATTGCAAAATTCCGCGAGAATTACGGCACTCCGCCCGATTCGACACACAGCGCAAAGAAGATGTTTCGCGATTCTTCTAGTCAAATGAAATTGTTGCTGTAATTGTCGGTTGTCAGATCAGATATTAATCCTCTGCTGTGTTGATGGCACTGGTTGCCATTTAGGCAATTGTTCCTCAAGTTTTCTGGACGTTTAACACTTTCAGCATCGCTCGCATATCGGAATCATCTGTTGATTTGTTCATTTGAAAATTAATGTTCGCTCTGATCTCTTATATCTTCCAAATTCCATAAAGATCCGCGAAATGTATAATGATCGATTTCCTACAAAGAGAGAGAGAGAGACACACACACACAGAGAGAGAGAGAGAGAGAGAGAGAGAGAGGAGAGAGAGAGAAAGAGAGAGAAGAGAGAGAGAGAGAGATTCCAATATTAATTCGATGGAATCATTTGTTCATTTGAAAATTAATGTACGCTCTGATCTCTTATATCTTCCAAATTCCATAAAGATCCACGAAATGTATAATGATCGATCTCCTACAAAGAGAGAGAGAGAGAGAGAGAGAGAGAGAGAGAGAAATTCCAATATTAATTCGACGGAATCATTTGTTCATTTGAAAATTAATGTACGCTCTGATCTCTTATATCTTCCAAATTCCATAAAGATCCGCGAAATGTATAATAATCGATCTCGTACAGAGAGATTCCAATATTAATTCGACTAAATTAAACACTTCAATTTGACGAAAATTTCGCGGTTGTCGGCGGCGTGTTGTCAAACGAACACCCGGAACGGTCCAGGCCGTTCTCGCGAAAGGGTCGCGGAGCTGTTTTTTGGATTTCGATCACGACTGTGCAGCGAATGCGGGGGACGTAATCGAGGCAATCAGGGTACCTATTTCCAGTAGGAGGGAAAGCGCAGCAAACTGGCGCAATAATTACAGCGATAACTTCGAGGGCGGGGGTTCGGTTGGTCCCGAAGAATCCGCATTATCCGCGGGACTTTCGCTAGTGGCTGTGCGTCCGGATTCCGTGCGCACGGCGAGGACGACGCTTCGGAGGATACGAGGATGGTAGGAGGACGTGGCGAGGTCGAGACGAGGTCGAGACGAGGACGAAACAAGGAGGAAGCGCGGCCGGTGTCGGAAAGAGACGCGGGACCTTATCAATATTATCAGTGGGCCGCGTGCGAGGGGGGTGAAGATGGGGCGGCGTAATCGGGTGGCTGGCTGGACGGCGAGACGGGGATGGAGAGGCAGGAGAGGTCGGTGTGGGTTGAAACGCGCAAGCGCCGGCTGGCAACCGACCCCCCTAGCGGTGCCGTCGTCGCCGGCGTCGTCTTCCGTCGTCGTCGTCGTCGTCGCCGAGAGAGACGTCGGCCCGTCGCGACTCCTCGTAGTTTTCAGTTCGGACCGAACGACGGCGACTAGCGGAAACCCGCCACTGAGGGACAGCGATCCCTCGTCTCGCAATCGAGCGGTCTCTCGCGCGTTCACACGGGCTCTACCGCGGATTTGCACGCGCGCACCTTGGCCACCCTGGGCACGCGGGTGTACGGGAACAACGCCTCCGCTCGGGACGCCGCACCGCGCCGGTAGACGCACCCGATTAAAAAGGTGGGAGCAGCAGCACGCGGGAAGCAACAGTGTACAGCCGGAACAACGGGCTGGGTCAGCGATTGTGCCGGTTGCTTCTAATAGTTCTGGTTCTGGTTCCGACTCCGTTTGCCGTTTTCCGTTCCGGCTCGGGATCCTGGCGGTGGGATGGAAGGCTCGCGAGAATCTCCGTGCACCTCGCCGAGGACGATAGTAGGTCAGTGACGCAGGAGCGAGAGCCGTTCGTCGCAAGGTGGAACGCGGGGATATCGTCCCCGTCGGTGGTTCGGTGACACGTCGTTACGAGAAGAAGGGGAGGAGCTCGATTTTTCATCGATTTTTTCATCTCGCCACGCGAACGAGAGAGTAGAGGAGAGGAGAGACCCCGCGGAAGGCCCGAAAGGCTGGGAAGGTTCGCCGTGTTCGGTGAGGAGGCTCGCGCAGGAACTAGCGGCAGAGGTCGCGGAACGGTGGTTGTTCGGCGCGGCGGGCAGTGTCAGTGGCCGTCGCCAACAGGTTACTCGGGCCGAATGAGTATTTCGAGAAATATCGAGGGGAGAAGGTTGCGAGAGCCGCCTCGTGACGCGCGCCGTCGCTGCCGCCGCCTCCTCTCGGTCGGTTCCCTCGGAGAATGAAGAAGAGGTATAAAAATACCTGTCCCTGAGGCTGCTCGAGAGAGCTCGTGGTGAGATGCACGACTGGCTGACCCCCGTGAACCAGGACATTCGACTCGGGGTTGTGCGCGTTCCGACGTGACACCGGGTGCTCACGGTACTCTCGTCCGCGCGGCTTCGGACACGAACTTGGATCAATCGGAGAGGACCACCTTGGACCCATCGTCGCGGACACCGCCTCGCGGTTCTGGAAATAGTCGAGCGGCCACGTGCCTTCCACCGCGATTCCCGTGGCTGGATATCTTCGTCCTCCGATCGTGTCCCTACGAGCCTGCGTCACCGTTCTCCCGAATCACGGCCATGATACACGGGATTTTCTATTTTCTGCCGAGTCGGGATTTCGCAGCGGAGAAACAGGCGGACGGCACGCGCGGGACACACGGTCGTTCCTGCTCGTATTCACGGCACCGGTGAACTCGACGACGACTCGACGACAGCGCCAGGTGTGTGCGGAAACGTGCCCGGAAACGTGTCTCCGGCAGGCGACGCTCTCGTGGAGAATGTCCGCGGTATGCGCTGCTCCTGCGAGACGTCGTCCGGCCGCAGGTGAGCTCGACACGGAGCCGACGAGGTCGAATCCGCACCGGATCACTCCCATCGCCTTCATCGCCCTCTCCGAAGGGAACGCGCGAGCGAGGCGTCGTCCTTCCGCGCCGAGCAGAAACCCGCTGGAGGAACAGGCGGAAGGTGGTCGCCGGAAGGATTAGGACGAGGACGCGTCGACGCTGTTCTGGAATTCGCGGAGAAAAGCCTGTGCCGCGGACCGATATCGCCCTATAAATAGATGTTTTCTCGCGTGGATCGCGCGTCTTGAGCCGGCCAGCACACGTTCGTCCGAAGTAGCCGAAACAGAGGCAGAAGAGCTCGTGACACGCGCCGCGAGGGCCTTCCTCGTGTCCTTGGATCTTGACCGGTTGCGGGACACGCGGCATGGCCGAGGGACAACCTCCGACCATTTAGGATAAATCTAGGTAGAAAGAAAACCGGGTCCAACCAACGAAAAGCATCCGCGAGTTCCGCTTCTTTTTCGGAGAGGAGGATAGAACGGCGAGTTCTGCGCTGGAAGAAGACGAGTCGCTCGATTCGGAGAGAGGTCGTTCCTCGAGCCGAGAGGCCAAAGGCCAACAGCAGCACCAGCAGCACACGCGTCATCGTTTACGTGGAACTTCCTCGGTGGCCACTTTTCCTCGTTCATTATCCTACACTTTTGTACCTACGCAAGGAAGCCGAAGCCAAAGGAACATCGTTCGACGTCCGAGCAGCAACGAATCTTATATTCTCTTTCACTCTCTCAATTTCTCTTTTTTCTCTTTCTCTCTCTTTCTGTCACCCTCTTCAACCCCTTCCGCTGGTTCTCCCACCCTTCACATATACACACACAGAAATAGGCAAGAACAAAGGGTTCAGGAACGAAAATCGTGAGGACACGTTGCCGTTATTAGCTGGTGCTTCTCTCTATCTCAATTTCCCCTCTTCCCCCTCTGACTCTTTCTCTCTCTCTCTCTCTTTCTCTCTCTTTTTCTTTCTTTCCGTCTTCTCACCCTGTCTTTCTCTACATTTCTTTCTCTCTGTCCTCGATGATCATTATGCTCAACTCGTGCTGTGCTTTTTTCTACCGTGCTTGTACGCATGCTGCGAGTGTTTTCTCAGTGCTGTAGTGTTACGCGTTAATTATTACACAGGCTTAACGAGCCCACGTTCGAACGCCAAACGTTTCGTCGGCCCAGGTACCTGGGAATAGTCCTGAGATGCCTGTTAGACGAGGTCACGTGGCGCCCAGGACAACGATCATCGAGACCATCATCAGAAAGTTCGATACGCACGGTGAGTACCCCTGATCATCCGCGATATTTAACGCTCGAACGGTCGCCGGGCATATCGGCGTCTCTTTCTCTCGACGCGTCATGGAGAAAATGCTCCGGCTAATTTGGTGCGCCTCCTGAAATAAAGTAATGCCATTCAAATTTATTCATGAGGCGCCAGGAACACCTGACTGCTTAGAGATTAACTCTCGGTGCCCCGTGACCGATCAATGCGGTCCTATGTTCGCGTCGTTTTTCCTTTTTATCGGTCGCAAGATCCTCTCCTTATGCCGAAGAATACGAACGATCGACGAAACAACCTTTTTAAAAGAGATCATCGGCGATTCCGACGTGGAAAAGGAAACGCGGTGAACGCGAACACTCGGACACGCTTTCGGGTCTAAATAGACTCGGCACCGGTACTCCGAGGGGAGGGGGGAGGGGTGAAAGAAAAGCTAACTCCGAACGCCACAATTACCGAATATCTTAAGACGACCGACCCACTTTGCGTTTTCCGTTTCGCAATCACTGGAAACACAAAGGATCTTCCGACGGGGGAAGATTACTTTGACAGAGAACGCGGTGCATCGCAACGTTAATAGAGTTACCTGCCGGCAAACCAGATGGAACCTTAAATAAAGTTCCATTTTCGCCCGGATTAAATTCGTCCGGCATCCGCCGCGATTGTCCCGAGTCGGTTAATTAGCATTGCTCCACGCGAGTTTCTGATCGTCTCCGTGAAAACAGTGGCACCGTAATTGTAGATTGCTCGACACCGGAGGAAAACAACGATGCAATTTTACGCAAAATTATAAAACGATCGCGCTCTCTCCGGCGCACTTGTCCGTTCTCTCCCGTTCGCTCTTGTCCTCGCGCACGTGTACAGCCCCGGCCTACTGATTAATTTATCGCGAGCCGTTTACACGCAGACGGGACGGACACGATAGCGACAGGGCCGCGAGATGGAAAATTTTAATTAAACCCGGAGACGATCAATTTCCACGGTTCGACGTGCGCTTTTCCTCGGCGGAGGCGTCCCCGTCGATTAGGTTAACGGGGAGGCGACGCGAACCGGCCAATCGAATAAAGCGAAATTGATTGCGTCGTTTTTGATCCCGTTCGCGAGAGCTACTTTTCTCCCCAGCTCCCAGCCTCTCCTCGCCGCTTTTTCTTATTTTCATAATATCGCGAGGTCGCGTGTAAACTTTAATGAAAGTTTTGCCTCGAGTGGCGGAATTCTCCCGGCCCGTTTCTCGGCCGACGAAGAAATAGATGAAAATAAAGTCAGCCGGGGGTCCGGACGATCCTCGTTCTGGCCGGCTCTCGATAGAATCGAAGAGTTTTTCAGAAGTGCCCCACCTGGTATATATGGGACGAGCAGGCATCGAGCCAGAACTCCATTTTCAATATTATTTAAAACATCTCCGCCGGAGAGAGCCGTGGTTCGGCGGGGGCCCGAGAGGGGGCCCTCCCCCCCTATATCTCGTGATGGCGAAGAGGCTCGGTTAAACGGAGGAAAGGGGTAGTTCTGTTTCACAATGGGACAATGCATGTCACTGGCAATATCACTCGAGGCATGCCACGAGTCCTCGCCGGGGAACAGAACCTAACAGAACCCGCGGAAAACCGGTCGGCCAGGGGGTTAGGGGGTCGCCAAGGGAGCAGCGGATTGATTGCATCTCGGCCCTTCGCGTTCCTCCATGACGTCACTTTCCTCGGAGAAGATCGCGTTATTCGTTCTTCTCCCTACGTCGAACAAATCTACGAGACCTCTCCTCCCTGCTTCAGGGGACTTCAATCCCTTGCCTACTTCGACGAGTGCGACTCGCGATGGTGGTTTTATAGTGGTAACGCATTAACCCTTCCGGGAAGTCAACGTATCGATATTGTTTAGAATTCTAAGGCCATAGGATTTAGAATGCGGACGTGACTTTCGTAGCTGTTTTTTGAGTTCGAATAGTCAAAAAGAAACTCCAAATCGCACCCTTGGACTTTCTCCTGGCCATCGTAAACCCCTTGGAACGTGAAGTGCACATGCGGACCCCAGGACAGACTAGTGGAATTGGCAAAAATCCGGGGCCCCGAACTTTCTATTTTTTAATAATCTAGTGGGCGATATTTGCAACAAAATCCGTATTGGCTGGTGGGAGTTCCTATCGTGTTGAAAAATCCAAGGGGTAGGGATTGGAAGTCGACGTGGAATACGAGCCACAAGAACTTTGGCAGAAGCAAACAAAAATCAGAAACGGAATCTCCCTCGCAGAGATCGGGATAGAACAAGGCTCTTGCCGGCCACTGTTGACGGCCATCTTTCAAGGCTCTCGCTGGCCATCGTTGACGGCCACTTTTAATACACGAGCGTTAAATTAAGTGTTTTTGAACCGGCAAAATAACGCCACGCTCGATACAAACGTGGTTACAGTATCAGAACTGTAAGCTTATCGTTTGATTCTGTAGATTACAAAATATCGGAATGTACAGTGGTGTGCATAATTATAGACTCAAAGTAACTCATTGTTACCGATATCTGAACGAAAACTTAACGAAATATCGTGTTGATTTGTTTCTATTTTCTATTATTTCTAATATAGCAATACACAAATATAATGTTTCCTTATGTTCTTTTTAAATATACAGGGTGTTTCAGTTAAAGGAGGCCTCCTATAGTGTTGTGAATAATTATAAACTCAAAGTAATTTCTACATTTTTACTGGTATTTAAACAAAAACCAAAAAAGAGCTATATTTGTATATTTTTTATTAAATGTAATATAGAAATATACAAATATGGTGTTTTGTTAAGATTTTGTTTATATATCACTATTAATGTAGAGGATACTCTGAGTCTATAATTATTCACACCACTGTACACGTGTTAATATAATATTGTTGAATTTCTTGTTATTTTCGTTTACAAAGCGACGAAAACACTGCGTTGATGTGGATTCTGGAAATCGTTTTGGTCGAATGCGAAANATTCACATTCTCTGTTTTTGAAGTATGTGGTGAACAGTCTAGTATTGTGAGGAAAATATTTAAAAAATTATCGTGAAGGAAGGATTAACATTAAATCAACCATAATGTCGATATCATATAGACTAGTTTCTTAAGAAACGATTGAATAAATTCCTTTATACGTGTTTTGTCGAAAGGAAAGTCTAAATAAATTCAGTCTTGCTATTTTTCTAAAGCAACACCCGTTAAATTCGAATGACGAATAAGAGAAAAAGACTTAACGAATCAAATACGTGGCACTATTGAATAACTATTCAACCGAATAAAAATTGATCTACATGACAATTGAACCGAATAAGAATTTATTCGAATAAGAAAGTATCTGTTATTCGTATAAGGAATTATTCGTACAGGAAGTCATTCAGAAAATAATCGATGTGAATAAAAATTGTAGAATATAAAGCGCTTTTCTCATAATTCATCGAATAATTTATTCCGTTGTTTTTTACAATCCACTTATCTTCAGATATTGAATCGGAAAGTGTGGTCGTTGTAAAAATAGCAAGAAGTAAACACACATGTCTACAGTATCAGGATGGTCGTGAATTTGGAATGTACTCGTATCAATATAATCTTGCGAAGTTACGTAAAAATAGAAACAGTCAACAATTATTAGCATTATTATTCGAATAATTTTAAAATCTCTATTCAGATAATTTATTCGAATGGAGAATAAAAAATTATTCAGATAAATAGACGGAATAGATTCTTAAGAATAATGAATTATTGCTATCCGAATAAAACATCCGATAAACAAGAACTCATTTGAATAATTATTTTAGATAAATGTTTATATATATATATTCGAAAGTATTCGAATAATGCCAAACTCTGGTGATAAGTACGAATTCTGTTCCATTGATATCAATATTTAAGCGTTCAAGTAAATGTAGGAACACGATAATTATAAATTTTCATTTTCTTCGACGAAACGATTACAATCGAAGATGCTTCAACCATCCGCCGGCGGACATAGTCTCGCGGGACCCAGAATTCTTTTCTTTTGCCAACTACGATGCTGGAGTCAGTTTCCATTTTTGTTATATCAAGAGAAAATTACGTGTAGTTATTATTTATTAATTAGTAACTGCGAAAAAAATTAATATTCTTTTTTACGATAAACATGTGTTTTTATATCGCCTTTCTCTCTTCTATGTATTCGGAATAATTCGCTATTTTATCATAATAAACAACGTTCTTTTGCAACGTTTTAAAACAATATCGCTCTTGGGTCACATTTGACACTGTGTCCGCCGTGCGTGCAAATATCGCGACGTCCGCTGTCCGGGGGTTAATCATTGTAACAGCGAAGGAAATGACAGAGCAAAGGGTTAATCCTGACAAAGGTGTTTCACAGAATTTCACGCGGACGCTTTCCGCGGGACGGGATCCAAAGGGTAGGATAACCCCTCGCCGTAATTTAACGAGTCGGACTGGTGGCGGAGATCTCTAGCAATATGCTGTTAGGTATGAATATTGTTCCGTTCCTTCAAGTCGGAATCAAATTCTGTTCTCTTGTCACCAATATTCAACACGTTCAGTGCCGCGCGAGTCACGTGTGGATAACACTAATTTTTAACTAGGGTTTTGAAATTCATTTTCATTGTAATATTTTTGATGTAATAATTGTCATTGTAATAATTTGTTCAATAGAACAAATTGAATGTTACTAGGATTTGTAGAAGACAAAATAGCTGAATCTATATTTCCTATGGTAAATTTTCACTTTCTAGTTTCAGTTTTATTAATTAAATGACTTTGATATTGCGTGAACTTTTCGAGTTAATATCCGGCATTTAACGTGTTAACACTAGATTTACGGAACCCGTCAAAAAGACGGGTCACTAATTTTTTAATTTACGATTAGTCATATCGTAAAGATACATTTATGAGTTATTTAATCAATTTATATGGTACTTATGGCAAATGTTACAGTAACACTTGTTAAAAATCAGAATAAATGNAGGATAACCCCTCGCCGTAATTTAACGAGTCGGACTGGTGGCGG